CCATTAGAGTTGCCTTATCCTTGTACAATTGCTTCACTTCCACATTAGAAACATTTGTATCTGATATATAATTTTCCACCTCCATTTCTGGTATGTAATAAGAATCACAAATTTTCGATTCAACAATGCTTAGAGCCTTTGTGTCCCTTTTTCCACCTTCAACACACACAATTGCACCTGTTGTTAAATCAAAATTATGTATATCTTCATCACTTCTATCCGATGTATCAATGCATAGTGGATACATACCAAATTCTACCTCATGTTTCTTCACTTCTATGTACAATTTCACCCCCATATCATTCCGAATACACAATGGACATGAATTACCTTCTACAACGTATCTGATATCCATATTTTTTTTTTATTCATCAATGTTTAATTCTGCTGCAATTGCTGATTTGAGATTAACCAACGAAATATTTTCCCCAACCACTATGCCATCAATTTTGTATTGCTCGTACCTAACATCACTTTCCCATATACCTGAATGCCTTAACAAGATTGAAATATTCATTACAAATCTTCACCAAAAAAATGTTGGAATTTTCAGAGCTTTTCGTAAAACAAGAAATAAAAATTTCAAAATTTGAATTTCGAAATTTTAGTTCAGTAGTGTTTTAAGATTGAACGATTTGCAAATGCATTAAACGTATGCGTTAATTGCGGCAGTTAATTTTTAAACCCCTTAATTAAGGCATAAATCTGTTAAAATCCATTTTTTAACGCACTAACCTGATAATTACAGCTTCTTAATTAAAGTATCCGGCCGCATATTAAAGTATCCGCAACGCAAAAAAAATAAGGGAAATTCGTTATTTATGAAAGAGTAGGGACAGGAAGTAATTTGTTTATTATACTATGTGCTTTATATAATTTTTACTTTTTTTAATTAGATTGTTGGGGTAGCTAATAAAATAGTGACACGTCATTAATGAATATGCTAACTGAAGTTATCATTTAGGGTTGTTAAAGTTGAGGGTAAAGTAGAGCCAAAAGGTTGACGGCAAGGGCATTTTAGGCTCGAAAGGTAGAAGAAGGGTAATTTTGTATCAATCCGCATAGTTAAGGGGTATTTTAGGCCCTTTTCCATTTATTTTTTACTTTTAGCAAATCAAATTGTTGATTTTTTGTTGCTTTCAACTTATCTTTTAATGTATCTACTTGATTTTGATTCTTAAATTAATGTAATATTCGTTCGTTGCACCTTTATGATATTACAATTTTATCATGTACTATCATTTTCAAATATTAGTTTGGTACATAACCCTAATTTATTGAAACACAAATTAGTATGTATCATGATCATAGTTATGTATTGGATACACAACTATTACAAATTTCGTCATCTTTTACTACTGATACATACACCCAACCTTATTCAACTAGTTGAAGACTATGTATTTGTAGACACTATCAAATATTACTGTTAATA